GCGGCACTGGAAGAGCATATGACTTTGCGCATTACAAAGCTCGAAGCAGATCTGCACAACACAGCAAGGCCTCCTCATGCACCAAGCTCACCCCTTCGGCCACCAATACTAGTGGTACCAAACCTGTCGACAGGTGCAGCATCAGGCTCTGGCCGCCCATGTAATAACCATGATGGCAGCGCTACGTGAAGCATTTCGTATCTGGCAATGGAACTGTAGAGGTTACCTTAAAAAGAAGGCAACCCTGCAGCAGTATATCAGGAGCAGCGAAGAAAATCCTCATATTATATTATTACAAGAGGCCCTTTCACCGCAAGCAACGTTGCCTGGATTCCGGCCTGTAATAGGGGATACTGAAGGGAGGGGAGTCTGCACCTTCGTATGCAACAAACTAACGCACGTAACCCACGACCTCAAGATAGAAACACGCCGGTTGGAACACGTCTTTGTAGAGATCGTGCCGGGTACCAGCAACCGTCAGAGCATTTTCATTCTGAATATATACAGCAGTGCAAAGGAACAAAAGCAAGGGTTCAAGACGGTTCTAAAGAAAGCTGTTAATATCGCCGGGGAATGTCCACTCGTCATAGCAGGTGATTTCAACGCCCATCATCATACATGGGGTTACAAGTACAACACTGGGAAAGGAAATCGACTTTGGCAAACTGCCAGTGAACTTGATCTCACCCTAATCACAGACCCCAGCCTACCAACAAGGCTTGGTACATCTTGCTGCAGGGATTCCACCCCGGACCTTACATTTGTAAGGAACATCAAGAAGGCCCAGTGGATGAACCTTGCTGTAGACCTAGGGAGTGACCACTGCATTCTTGCCACTACCTCCTCCGTGGAGCGTAAAAAGCAGAGAGAATTTCACTTCACAGACTGGGATAAGTTCAGGAAGATAAGGATCGAAAGGGAACAAGATGGCCACAGACAAGGCTTGGAGCAGTGGGTCAAACAGATTAAATATGACATCAAATCCGTCTCCTCCACCATTACCACAGATTTTCCGGTTGAAAGAATGGATAGCCGGCTCGCTCATCTTCTTGAGGCAAAGCAAGCACTACTGAACCGTTGGAAGGGTCAGCGCCTGAACCGAAGACTGAGGAAGAAGATAGCTGAGGTAAACAGATCAATCGAGGAACATTGTCGCGCACTATCGAGGCAGCAATGGGACGAAATCTGCAACTCCGTCGATGGTCAGATGCGCAATGGCAAGACATGGAATATGTTAAAGCATCTCCTCAACGAAAACACCACCAAAACAAATCAAAAGCATGTTATCGCTCGAATTTTGCATAAAGAGATAGGGCGCACTACAGAACAGCAAGTTGTCCAGCAGCTCGTGCATAAGTACCTTCCAATCAAAAAAGGATTGGCACCACCAAGTAGACAGTACCAGGGCACGCCAAATCCAGGTCTTGAGGGCGACTTTAACATCGAGGAGATCAGAAGAGCCTTGCATGATCTCAATGGCAGGTCGGCCCCTGGCCCGGACGGTATAGCAAACAAGGCCCTGCGTAACCTTGATGACGATTCAATTGAAACCCTGAGGGATATGATCAATTCAGCATGGAAAGAAGGCAGGGTGCCAGAGCAGTGGAAGCTGGCCAGCACGATCTTTATTCCTAAGCCAGGAAAGCCCCCTAACTTGGACAACATGAGGCCAATATCCTTGACATCATGTATCGGCAAGGTCGCAGAACATGCCATACTGCACAGGATAAACAAGTACTTTGAAGATAACGACATATATACACACAATATGGTTGGATTCAGGGCAGGGCTATCCACACAAGATGCTTTGAAGCTTATCAAACACCAGGTCATTGACAATGAAACCAGAGACGTGAGAGCCATTCTGTGCCTAGATCTAGAAAAAGCGTTTGACAACATCCACCACTCATTCATACTCGAAGCAATTTCCAAGCTTGGTCTAGGGAAAGCGTTCTATGACTACGTATGGTCCTTTCTTACAGATCGGAAAGCCGTGATGAAGATTGCAGATATCGAGACCGTAGCAATCGAACTAGAAGCAAGGGGCACGCCACAAGGGGCAGTGATTTCACCAATGCTGTTCAACATTGCCATGATTGGACTGTCAAAGAAATTATCGAGCATTGAAGGATTGAAGCACAGCATCTACGCAGATGACATTACCATCTGGTGCACAGGTGGAAGCGAGGGGCAGATTGAGAGCGCTCTGCAAGAGGCGATTGACACCGTAGAAGACTACCTTCGCCCTTCCGGGCTCAAGTGCTCCTCGAGTAAGTCAGAACTTTTGCTTTATCGGACTGCACGCCGGGGACCGAAGCCCAGGGGATGGAAGCCGTTAAACCAGATAGACATCCATCTCCGTACAAATCAAGGGGATGCCATCCAGAGGGTCGACTCCATCAAAGTCCTGGGAATGCTGATAGAGTCTACCGGCGCCAACAGCAAATCTATAGCCAAGTTAACTCGGAAAACAGACAGTGCGGTGCACCTCATACGCAGAGTGGCCAACAAAAGAAATGGGATCAAGGAAGACAACCTCATCAGGTTGATGCATGCGTTTGTTCTAAGTCACTTCACATACGAGGCAGCAATGCACAACTGGTCAAGAGCAGAGTCCGAGACACTGAATGTGCTCCTCAGGAAAGTGATCAAGAAGGTCCTGGGCCTACCCATACATACCAGCACCGAGCGTCTGCTTGAGCTTGGCATACACAACACGCTCGAAGAAATAGCAGAAGCCCAAGAGAGAGCACAGTTTGCAAGGTTATCTACTACAAGGTCGGGGAGAATGATCCTGCAGGAGCTGGGCCAACACCCAATAGCAATAAGACGCAATTACAATGATATCCCTGACAACATCAGGGAGACTATCACGGTATCTCCTATACCGAGAAACATGCATCCAGAACACAACGTCGGAAGAAGAGTAGCGAGGGCCAGGACTATACTTCGTCAAGTCTCAAACGAGGAACGAGGGGTCGTATTTGTTGACGCGGCTTCCTACGCCAATGGGAAAGCGTTTGTGGCAGTGGTAGTCGATGGGGCTGGCCACGTCGTCAACTCAGCGACGGTCAGGACGAAAGACCCAATCATTGCGGAACAAGTGGCCATCGCCTTAGCACTCAAGATGGATAACATTGAAGTCGTCTACAGTGATTCCATGGCAGCACTACGGGCGTTCGCCAAGGGGACGGTCTGTGAACAAACGCTGAAAATACTGCAAGGCAAGAACATAACACATCATCTTCTGAGTTGGTTCCCAGCTCACCTTGGACAGATCAACGATTCCCCTCCCAATCTCAACGAAGCAGCACACGAGGCGGCGCGAGAACTCTCCAACCGCGCCTCCCCGGGGATGCGTTCTACCGGTGAAGGGGATAACCGGGAAATTCTTACAACATATAACGAGCTCACTAAACATTTCTACCTGTCTAGAAGGATTTTCCCTCCACCTCACAAAAATCTAACCCGGCCTCAAGCACTTACATTAAGGCTTTTGCAAACGCGGATGTACCCTACTTTGAAAATGTTACACATCATGTACCCTGACCTATACCCAAGTAATCTTTGTCCACATTGTGGGGAAATAGCTTCATTAGAACACATGCTCTGACAGTGCACCAAATTCGCTCATTTATCGCACATCACCTCTGCCTGATGGGAGGCGGCAATCCGCAGCTCGTCCTTGGCAGATCAGCTCTGGGCTGTCCACCAAGCCCGCGAGGCGGCTGAGGAGCTTGGCATCTCAGTCCCCACGTGGGAGCTGCCCGCAACACAGTGATCTGTGTTTTGGAGGACCAAATAAAAGTTTATCCAATCCAATCCAATTCATAAATCACGCCCGATATCGGGGCAAAATTTAAAAAATAAGAGTATCGACTAGATTTTCTCTTCCATCAATAAAACTATGATGATGAAGTTTACGATATTACAATTCTCCGAGTACAGTCAATCAATCTAAACCAATTTAACGTTTCTCTTTCTTGTCCCTTGAAGCATGCTGGCAGCTCTGCATGTGGAACGCATTGCCTTCGAGAAAATATGTATCAGAAGTTTTCTCATGGAGACGCAAAGAAACACCAAACACCTCGATACGATCTTAACTGCGCGTTTATTGGTGCGCTTCCAGAGTGTTCCCAGCCCCACGATTTGAGGTTTAGGACATACGTAAAGTCTTTTCAATGCTAAATCATCGCGAATGAAAGTCTGTGTGTTTATGAGACAACGCAGCTTGGCCTCAGGTGTCTTCGTTCAAAGGTTTAATGCGACTGACAGCCCAGTCTAACCTGTTCATACCCGAGGAATACGACCCGGAAGCTTTTACGGCAAGTACTGTCTTTGGGAAGGCTTCAAAATTTATAAAAGTAAGCTGTAGACAGCCATAGCGAGACAAAATACGCCTAATTGTTGGAATTTTCCGTCCAGTCAATGGTTACGGGAAGCAGGGTATTATTCACAGTGAGTGCATGATGTGTACGATTGTCATTGTGGTGATTCACAATTATACCAGTGCTTTCCATTATAGTAAGAGACTGTTTTCACCCTACCTCCCCCCTTTCACTTGTAGATTGGCTTTTTTGGCCAAACGCGAGAGAAAACAAGTTTTGCAGTAAGCGCGAAAAATGAAAACTAAGCGGTGACGCACGGCTAGCCACGGCCTGCCCATGGTCACCGGCCGGTTTACGGTACGTTGTACTCAGAGCGCAATATCGTGTCCTCTCAGCCTCCAATAAACAAAAGCCTGCACGGCTGTTAACCTGCACCTTAAGCAATGGCGGCACAGGTCCTATTGATTAAACGCATATGTAGAACACACTTGGCGCACCTTTTGACAATTATTGCAGCTCCCTTTACAGCTACGTCTTGAAACTGGCGAAATGAACACACTGCAAGTGGACAGTGGCATTTAACAGAAGAACGCGTTCACTACAGAGAAAATCACTCTTCTCAGAGCCATATGGCTAGAAGGAGCACTGAAAAGGACGGCCGGCCACGACCGTTTACTTCCAGGCGAATATCTTGCGGACCGAGCCGAACAACAGAACAGCCTTGGGCTCTCTGTTCATGACGAGGAACAGGAAAGGTCTGTCCACAATGAACTTCACCTCTTCATCCTTCTGTTCCCCATCATCGTCCGCTGCTGGCGGCGTCGATGTGCTCCCAGCTGGAAGCTGCACAGGCACGATTAACAAGTAGGCGCTGAAGAGAGTCCTATATATGACCCGTTCCTAGACGAGTATTACTTCGAAATTCCACGTTCGGTAATTCCGCGGTTATCAGATGTATCTTTAAAAAACCCTCAATCATTTGAAAACCCTCCTGTGTCCTCAGTATTCTTACGGCACAAGTCCTATAGGTAGGCGCCACTAGACGAGTCGACATATATTTACTTTAAAAACACTGCCGGCGTTTCCTTTTTTTTCTTCTTCTTCTTTCTCAGTTGCTTTCATCTGCGCGGTTGGCACGCCAATTCGGAGGACCACCACCGTGCACTAAAGACTCGTTCAAACCTACGACTAGCTCTGGTAAAGAGACCAAGTTAGTCACAAATGGCCGCTTGGGTCTCCAAACGACTGCTTCGGCTCAGTCACTCATTGTATGATGTTTCACCTTTTACCGTATACCCTGATGGCGGACGCTGCGCCTGCCTGTGATGATGGGTATGAGTCGCACACAAGCGCGAACAACGGCCTCCTTGAGACGCTTTTTTATCACCGCTCGCAAATGTTTGCGCGACCGGCATGACTCATAGATTGAATAAGTCTAAAGACATTCCTGCAACACTTTTCCAACTTATAGCCTTATACATGATTTTTCAAAGTGGGTTCCGTGGAACCTGGGGAATTGTAGCCAGGCAGAATGAAAAAACCAGACGCATGGTACTTTTATTCGCACGTCTGATTACCTGGGAAGTGGATATGGTGCCGCCATTGCTTGTGAGCATTCTCTACACTATAGCCCATCTGAAAAATAAGCAAAGTAGTTGACTGAATCTAGTCCCCGACGTGCGGTTGGCCCTGGGTGTGACTGAGCCTCGCATCAGTTTGTTTCGTGCAAGGCCAGGACGTTCACCTGCGTGTCAGCGAATATTTCTGGTGTCCGTGTCATATATATATATATATATATATATATATATATATATATATATATATATATATATATATATATATATATATATATATATATATATATATATATATATCATTGCACATGAAGTATTATATATATATATATATATATCATTGCACATGAATGTAGCGTGATTGAATGTTTGCATGAAAGTGGTTGTAAAATGTGGGAGGGGCAGGGGTGTGCAGGCTTTCTTTAACCTAATAGAGCTTAGCAGCGTTCCCTGCGTAGAGTTTCTCGCAATTTTACCTGCTGGCACTAGTGAGGTGCTGGATGCAAGGGAATTATTGACGGATACGTGAGCTTCGAACTGGACTCGGATTTGTATACCTCGAAGACGCGTCTGGCTTCACGTTAGAATGATTGCTTTCTTACTAAAAGAGCATGTAATAAGCTATTTATTTTTGTCCTTGCAAAGAAACGCGTTTTATTCAATACTGGAACCTTTTGCGTCAGTGTGCAATTTTACGAAGCGTAAGAAGTAACCAACGGCCGCTAATCTTGGCAGGCAGACGACAAAGCAAGCGTTCCCTCCGCCACTTTTATGTTGTCTATTTCTTCCTTTGGCTGTTTGATTGGGCCGTAAAAGTAAGGGAACTTTTATATTAGCATATAATACAGGTTAATGAGATCTGCATATAAACGTTTTGTTTTAGAGAAACTTTATTTACGCACTCGTATTCGCTTTTGTGCCGAAGCCTCGCTCAACACCAGCTAACACAAGCCTCGCAGACACACATGCCGTCATTTCCAGTGGTTTCATGGAGGGCTTTTAAAAAGAATTCGCAAGGACGGTAGCGCCACACTTCCTTCCAGGTAATTTTACGAGAAACTCCATGGTTCCCTGGGATCAACGTGCTTGAGTACCTCTGGTCTGATGGCTTCATTGAAAGAGCTTACTAGAGGCGAAGGTTCTTATGGTCGAGCTCGATCCGATGTGTGACGTGACCACCCTTAGAGCGCATGCGCACCCTTCTTCCTTTCTCTCCTCTCCTACGCTCCCCACACTCTCTCTTCGCAACGCCGACGCAGGCAGCGTATCCTATAGTCTACGCTCGCTCCCCGCTCTCCCTCCTCAAGGCATCTCTCCCAGTGGCATTTACACCCCAACTGCCTGGCATCTGCACATGGTTATTTAGCGGGAGATCGTGTAGCTTTTGCTCAATCGACTTCCGCAAAAAAATTCATAATCCATCAAGAGTAAGTGGAGTTCAGGGGTGTCTCATAAATTTCATCCAAAGTGATGACGATTACTTTTTCAAAAGCATCCCCAAAAAGCTTTAATTTTCACTCATATTGCAATTATCGCATTTATAAAGATTTATAATAAGATAAATGTGCAATATGGTTCAACTCGTTCTGGCTTATTAGCATAATACCTTTTTTTAACATGTGAGAAATATTTTCAACTTCAGCGCCTTAGTAAAAGCTGTCAAAACAGACCCCTGAATTTAAGGTGTGAGGCAGTTGCTCAACATTCAAGGTTCGTTATTATTTTATGTCAAAAATGTACAGGAAATGATATAATTTACCTCTCCGTAGGCCGATAGTGTAAACTAATGAAAAATATATTTTGTGTCAGCAGTGCGCTAATTTTTTTAGTGATAAGCCTCCAAATTAGTTACATCCAAAGTTGCGGAAGTAGCTTTTTTCCCCTGCAGGTAAACACAAGTTTGTTCCTAGAAATTCGTGACAGTTTTCGCAAAAACGAAGGCGATTGAGCGCTCGTACAGTCGTCATCTCTTGTTTTGTGTTGTCCATTTGCGCTCAAATATATTCCAGGGTATGATTTTTTTTCTAATGAGGCATTTTCCGAGCTCATAAAAGTTTATCGCAAAACATAATAAAGCAGTGGGGACCCCCTTCGGCCGGTCATTATCTGAACACGCACAGCAGTACCACCAACACCAGCAGCGGCAGTAGTTCACTGAAAAAAACACAAGCATTTTCACAGCAATAGTAGCTACAGGCATTACGCAGCTGTCGTGACCAGACAAGAGAATGGATAAATTTATAAAGCGAAATGATGAGAATCACGTTTCATAACGACAGGCATCACCATCATTAAAGTTACGGTTTTCGGCGGCTTTCACGGCTTGAAAGAAGCTGAATTCCCCTTTTGTTTTCTGCGCTCCTGCTGCTCGGGCTCAGAGCTTCTTTATAGACTTTAAAGGGGACTCTTACACTGGTGTCTAGAGGTGCTGCAACGCATGGCGCTTCAGCGAGCATGAAAATGATAGGTATAGAGAACGTATTTGTCTAATCTCCGTTTCTTCTTTCGGCTTCGCTTGGCATCTCGAGGCCTGAATTCGCTTTGGCGCAAGACGAACTTCAGCGAAAATTCGCTGAAAATTTTCACAGTAGGATGGAATGTGGGCTAGTTGGTAGTTCACTATTGATCAGCGAACTGGGAGCGTGGGAGGAACAGAGACACGAAGCAAACAGGAGGCACACAGCGCTCGTGCTGTGTGCCTCCTCTTTGCTTCTCGTGCTGTGTGCCTCCTATTTGCTTCTCGTGTTGTGTGCCTCTTTCACAAAACGAGCGCTCAAAAAGGGCGCGCCGCCAAATTCTCGCGACGAAGCGCCGGAGGGACGCCTCGAAGTCAACGATAAAAAAAAACATCCAAAGACTCCCCGGGCGCGCGTCCCTCCCCTCTCGGAAGCGTAGGTTCGCCGACGAACCTCCTCACATCGCGGCCGAGCAAGCCCTGGAAATCCCTCGATGGAAAGGGGCGTGGTGATGCCGGGTTGCGTCATCCGTCGCGGACGGCCGTCCAACCGTCTCGCGCTTTCCCCCAGCCTTTGCTGCGCATCGCGCCGACGAAATGATGAGAACTTCTGGAATCTCACGCGGAAGGTATTTAACCGAGCAGCAGAGATGGGAAAGCAGAAGAAGGAAGTTAGCGCCAGTATGCGTGGGGTTATTTCGCCGCATCTGTCGGTGAAGGTTTTGTCCTTAGCGACAAAGCAGGAGAAGAAGAAAGTATGCGCCAGAGTGCGTTGGGTGTTCCGCCTTGTGGGCGAAGCCTTTTGTCTTCCGTGGCAAAGGAGGAGAAGAAGAGGATTTCCACCTGAGGGGTGAAGACTCGAGCTACAGGCAAGAGTGTGTGTCTACCGCTATCGAGCGAAGACGCGTGGCAACAGCTGCGTCTGTGAAGCCGACGTGTTTCCGGCGAAGAAGTTTGAAGCTTGGAGAGCGGCCAAGTGAAGACGCGAGATTTCCTGGAAGAGAAACTTCGGGGACAGTGGAACGACAACAACACTGGACTTTGAGTGAGTGATTCTCGGAAGAGTATCATTCAGACTTTTGTTCCAAGAAGTTTGGACTGAGTAAGTTTTCTAACTCTTTAGTCTTTAAGTGTCTTGGTTGTTCGATGCATATATGCGACTGCATTATAGTGCGTATTGTTGTGTGTGTCCGTTGTTTCAAGTGTCGCTGATTGTACTGTGTAGTACGTTGTTTGATTGGTGACATATTGTATTCAACTATTGTCGAGTGTGAATACTTGTGTATCGTTTCGATCTGCCATAATTGAGAATATAATTTTGTTTTGGTTATCAACTCTCGGCTCTGACTTGTTCTTTGGGCCACAACCGGCGTCCGCTGGCGCGCCAAATAGGACCACTTCTAAATTGTCCACGCTTTCGTGGTGCGGTTCGGGGAAGGCGATACTTCGGCCCTTGGAATTAGCCCAGCAATCGCCTCCCTAATTAACGGGACCTGTGACAGCCTCCTATTTGCTTCTCGTGCTGTGTGCCTCTCTTTGCTTCGTGCCTGTGTTCCTCCCGCGCTCCCAGTTCGCTGAACAATTATGAAAATTTTCGGCTCACCACTAATCGGCTCACGATCCGTTCTTTCATTATGAATCATTATAAACGAAAGCCGAAACACAGCAATAAACAAAACCACAAGTGCGTTCACACCACGCAAGCACAAAGAGTAGGCAAACTTTTATGTACTACCCATCATTACCATGGTTGCCAAACGATTGCAGCGCCATAGTCCCCTCAAGTTAATTTTAGGAAACTCTGTGCTTGGGCATTTCTGTCCTTCCCATACAAAGTATATATGATGTAGGCGACGTCATGTACGCCTGCACAATACTTTTGACTTCTGTTAAAAACTGTTACTTTCTTTTTCTCTCTTAGCAGCTTACCTGCGCTCCACTGCACTTGGGTGTTTGGCTGGTGGAACGTTCGCGAGCGTGGAACACAGGCCACGTGACGCGCGAACGAGACCCTGGCGGCCGAGTCGCACAGCGTCGAAAAGTCGGCGTCCGGCTGGAACGCGTCGTTGACGCCGAGCGCCGGCAGCGCCTCCTTCAGGTCGATCACGTCGCTCACGCGGAACATGGGCACGCTCACATTCAGGGGGCCTGCGTTCCGCCTGCTTGTCATTCATGGCAGTGCAACCCGAACGTCACGTAAGTTGCAAGGCCACAAAGCCACATGACTATGAAACGGAGGGCAAATGTGGAGGATCTACAATCCACCGGAGAAAGAAAAACTGCACGGAAAATGATCATCAGGCAGGACTTAGAAGCTGATCGATTGAAAAAGGTTTCAGTCATACTTTACTTTTCTAAGGTATCTCATCGTCTGAAGGAAATAAGGGCAACATTGCGGTGTTCCAAGTGTTTTTTTTTTTTCAGCCTTCCATAAACTGTCATACTTTTCGTCTCTCACTTTTCCTGTGACGAAAAAGAAAGGCCAGAGCCCCATCAAGCATCGCAAACGATAGAATACACCAACAATATGTCCGCTTGCATGCAGTGAATGCTATGTAAGCCAAAACAAAAAGAAGGTGTCTCAATGATTGCCTTTGTGAGCACAACAATAATGTGCACAATGCTAATGAAGGTTTTTCGGCCATTCATCGCCATTCCTGTTGATGAAGCCCTCTATTTCAATAAAGCACAATCATCGGCAGACATGAAGACCAGCGCACTCGGGAAATAATTGAATCCGCCCATATTGCGCGAGAACGTTGATTGTGCATCGGCATGGCATCTGTTTGTTTATTGACGACAGAGTTATCTTCTTTGGAAGAGCACGTGTAATCATTCCTCAGAATAAATCCTCTCGTGCTTCATATTTTTCTCGTGTTTTTGTATATATTTGTTTCATGTTAAATAAAAATTCCGTTGTTAGTCAGTGCCTGTCTGTGTCTCCTCTTTTGTGTCCCCGTGTAGAATATCGCGATCTTTAGACTTTGCCTAAAGAGCAAATACGAACCACTAAAACCACCTCCACCATATTATGATTGTTTTTGAGCTTGAGACGACAACAATACAAAGCTCGTTACTTTAAACCTGAAGGGTACTTTAAAATTATTCGAATTAAAAGGAGTTGGAATTAGCGGCTGCTAGAATGAACGGAAATCACGTCAAGCTGCGCCGATAAAAACCAACAAAGTCATCTGTGGATTCGTCACGTGAGTGAGGCGCTACTATAAGTTTGTGGCAGGTTATTTTGTCAATTTATTTCAGTGAGCTGTAACAGCGAACATAAACAGTTTATCAGTGAGTAATACGCCACTATAACAAGCCTCTATGTAAATTCATTTGAGTAGTAAGCCTTAAAATCGAAATATGTGATGCTATTTATACTCCTGAAGTTTCCACGACAGAGTTAAAGAAACCAAAATTTAAATTGATCAGTAATTTGAATTCACCTGCATTTCCACTACCTCATCTCCATAAGCATCGTTTGCAGCTTGCCCAAAAGCTGAAACGCCAGGTCCGAATTCTCCTCTAAGAAGTACTGCTGTTTTTTTTTTCTTTTTCATTTCTATTGAATTTGGTTCGGTTTTGCAACATTTTCTTATCACTAAGGACCGACTACTGCGAGGAATGATAAAATGCAGGAGATTCCCATGTCAAATTAACCATTGTGGATACAGACGCGTTCAAATTATCGGTAGTACTCCCCCAAAGAAATTCACAGGGCAGTGCCGGCACCAGTGTGTAAGTTGAAATTAACTGCAAGTTTCAATTAATCCGGTTCGGATGAACGGGCGTTTACTGTGTGATGTATCGCCTTGCTTCGAGAACGGGTCTGTGAGCAGCTTCACAAACAGTAAAAGGCGACACACAGAACCAAGCGAAGCTTAATACAAATGAAGCAATTGAAAATAAACATCGTGAGGGCATTTCCTTTGCCATACGTCAATTCAATTTTAGGGCAGCGCCAGCACACAGAGAGACGTGGAGCAGGCTGGTGCAGTTGACGAGGCCTTCGCCTGTCTAGGCGTGCAGACTGTATTGGCGTCCGTAATATTCCGCCGTCCATGTCACGTGGCCCCGTGACATGACGTCATAACCTGATATTTTGAACTTGCGACTGGGGGTTTTCAATGAGCCCTTCTCATAACTCTCAAGTGTGCTTCTCTGCACTGCCTATGTGAACAAGAAATGGCAGCACTTGTGCTTTAAGCGCACATGCGGTCCTAGTTGAACATGCCGGGGCTTGTGAATTATGAGTGTTCATATCAAAAGAGGTGGCTCAACAATTTTCGCGTAATTACGTAAGTAAACCACACTTTTGAACAGGCTATTTGCACTAAACGACAAGCCACTATTAGTTGTTCAAACTGCATAGCACCAAAGCTAACTTTACAATATTGAAAAAGGTCTATTGGCTATGTCAACACGTTTTCATAATCAAATTAGCTTGGATATCAGCACAAGATTGGGGAAAGACATTCATTTTGTTGCGAGCCGCAAACTTCAACCGCGGCCGTAACTCAATCCGGAAAAGGGTCATATCGCCCTTGAACGCACGTCTACTCAATTTTTGGACTAGGCATATGCATTTTGTTGGTTCGGGGCGAGGTCCATGCTCAATTCATATACGTGACGTCTGTGATTAGTCGTGAGTGTGTGGTTGTCATCTGATGTTAGCGCTTGACGCCAGGTTTTCCGCTACAATGATCACAAAGTGCTTTTTCACCTACGCACGCTAGTGTCACAGGAGAATCGCGGTCATACGCTCCAAATAATACACCTACATGCACACCCACCATTTATTTCCGCCTTATTCGAACGATCACACCGCTCATGGCAATTTCATTCAGAAATTCAAGGAGGTCCCTGCCCCCAGTGGCTTTTACGAATCAGTCACGCCACATGTCTGCCATGGCTAATGTAATGACAAACAGCCAACAGAGGCATCTGCTGTGCCAACGCGAATCTCACCCTTGTCCTCGAGCTTGTCGAGACAGGCGAGGATGTGGTGGGCGTTCAGCTTCCTCTCCAGGTCTCGCAGGCTGTTGGGAGGGTCTGGCAACAAGATCACCATGGTCTTCTTGTGCTCGCGATAGGGAAGCTCAAGAAAGCTGGCGCCCATCTCCTCACTGTGGGTCGTACGAAAGCGTCCCGTGTGGCTCATCATGCGAACCACCTGCAGAGCAACGAGTACATTTTTTTTTTCATTTTAAAAAAATTGCAGCGGTTTAGCTCAGCTAGACGCGCTTATGCAAGCTACACTGTTTACTTCAGCATGCGTGTTTACCCTCGTAGCCGAAGCTCAATTTGTCAACCTAACGTTATGGCTAGCCGAACGCTCCATAGTGCGTCCACTCGCTAACATCGTTTGGTTTGTTTCCGAAGACGTTGCCGCAATGGGTGCGAGAAACGTCAGGCTCATATACCACCAAAAGACACTCTCACTCGAGTGCTCCTCTGTTACAGAACCACGCGCTCCTCGCACTTTCACCTCGTGTATAGGTTGATGAAGAGTATTCAGAATAGTAGACAGACTAGCCGACGAAATCTCTCGTTTTAGGTTCAATAGCGCACAACTGAAACGTCATCGCTGAATTTTGCACGGATTAATAATAATATGTCGGGTTTATTGTCCTCAGAATCCCCGTATGTTTATGAGAGACGCCACAGTGAAGGGCTCCGGAAATGTCGACCACCTGGGGCCCTTTAACATGCACCCAAATCTGAGCACACTGGCCTACAATTTCGCGCGGCTTGTCCCGGGGTCTTGGATACAAGGCCACACAGAGATACACAGCGAAGCTCGTTCGACTATAGGCCGGTAAACCTTTCACTTTAATATTCTCGGGGTCTCTTACGCATTCGCCTAAGATTACTCTAAAGCAAAAGCAGTTTCCTTCTCTCTCAATAGACTCATTAACCCTGTACCGCTCCTTCCCGGAATCCTTCGGAACCGAACATGATTTTTCACCGCTTCTTGGGTCGCAGACACTACAAGCACTCAGGACTTCATTGTTCGTCATGGTCATTTCGCAACATTTTTACACGAAAACGTTTTTTACCAGGTTCCACCTTCAGTGACGTATTTCCGTCACGGAAATGCCAGATTATGAGATATCGGGTTGCTTCGTAAACGGGTCTGTAAGTAACTTCACAAAGAGTAACATGCGATGCCCATAATTAAATTAAGCCTAATAGAGTTAAAACAAATGAAAAAATACACAAGTTCAGAAAGCAAAAAAAATGTTCCGCATAATGGAGACAAACCTACGACCTTTCGGTACGCGAGACTAGAGGCTGGTCAACGAGATTGCGTTTACGTGAAACGCTGCTACAGCTGTTAAGCAGACAATGTGCAGGCTCTCTTACATTTATGTCCAGAGAATATTCAAATACTTTTGTGAGGAAAAGTTACATTTCGTGTTATATTAACTTCTGTAATGAAGGAATCAACCATGTGTTTCATTATCTGTGGCTTAATGATGACGTCATATGATGAAGTCATCACGTGATATTTTTTGCATCACTCGTGTTGACGCCAACGGTCGAATTTCGCGTTTGAAGAAAGATACAAGGCTTCCATCTTACTAACCTAATACGACATGCTGTGATACGCTGGGCTTTGTTTGTTTCGCCACTATGTTGCATTATTTTGAGTTCCCAATCAACAGACAGAAACTCACCTTACAGCCCTGAGCTTGCATGTTCGCCGATGCCTACACGTTCACCCTATGTTCGCCTTACAGCCGAATGTATCGTAACACTTGTGAAAAGAAAGCTTTCCTAAGTTTCGAGCAACCACTCGGGACACGTAAAAAGAGCCATAACTTTTCTTGCACTCTGCATAGGATCAAAACCTCCTGTCAACGTCTTCCGAAACACAAAAAGTTGAAAGGCAGTGGCTATCCCCAAAGCATGCTCGTAGGAATCAGTGATGTAGCCAAAAACCCACGTGCCGTCAAGAAAAAAGGAATGGTTCGCTTCCGCAAAGCGATAGTCATTCCGAGCTCACAGAGCATTTCGGGCTGTATGAAGCGGGTAGGACAAATATATGGAGTCAGTGTCTTGTTTTGAGCGCCTCATAAGTTTAAGACACCCTGCAAAACATAGAACGATAAGTCAACAAGGAGAAATGTCCAACAAGCCACCAAGACCTCTTCGAACGATGCGTGAAAAAAGGCCGAGTGAAGCAATCTCCTATATAACTGCGGCAATAAATGGACAAGGCAGGCAGGACGCTGTGTTAAAGAATGTCTGCTGCAGCACAGATACACCAGCCAACAATTGCAGAGAGCGTGCGCCTCATGGTACATTGCAAGCGATTCTTATGCACGCCTAAGTTCCATGACAGCACGTTGCTAGCACGTGGCGGTGACAAATATATTGTGAAAGAACTTTCTTAAACTTCGCGAAACATGGTGACTAAATTTGTGGTTAGTGCTAGTGCTGGCGGAGCGCTGCTTGTCACGTCTTCTAAACGCCTGGCCACACACACGCGCATGCGCTGTCTCTCCATAGGCAGAGGGAACGCACTAGCTGCACACGCTGCAACGCGTTATGTGTGGCCAGGCGCTTTAGAAGACGTGGCAGGCAGTGCTCTTTGAGCGCTGCCACGACCACAAATTCAGTCACAACGTGTAACGAACGCTCTTAGCGTCCCCAGTCATCATCGCCACCGCTATAGCACTAGCAATAGCGTGCGCTCCAGTTATGCCACTAACCTGAACGTAGGGCCTAACTCAGATCGGAACGCCAAATGAGACAAAGGAAACCTGGTGGTCGACACGCAACCCGCATGATGACGTATACAAAGAAAAATACGAGCATTGCAGATTGGCAAGTCCTCACTGCCTCACCAGAAACTAATCACTGACTTATACGGCAGGAGTTCGTGTGAAGGCAGCAACAAAAGGACTGCATTCCAACCTCGCTTCCGTATTCTTACATACCCCGCAACATCTACACTTCAGTGCTGGCTGCGCCGCGCCTTCCTGGTCGACCTCTTCCAACTACTATGGGGCTGTCACGTTATACGTCTCCATGGCAGCCCACAGTACTCGCTAATTGCAACGACGCAGCAGTGGGAGGCCACACTACTTCGCTCAGACCTCGACGAGCAGGCGGTCTAGGTCACGTGGCGCGCAGAGGGTGCCGCCAAAGAGCAGGGGCTCTTGGTCGTCAAACCATGCTCGCCTCTCACAGTCGGAAAACTCATTGGTTTTCAGTAAAAGCTTTGTCGTCCTTGCGTGGCACTTCAATCGCAGACTGCTGTACACGACTTCACTGTGTCACTGCAATGCGTAGGATGTTCGATGGCCGCAACAAAGTCCGCCGAGGCGGTGTATTGTCGTTACAATGCTCGGCTGCTGACCCAAAGGGTTTCGATCCCGTCCGGGGTGGTCGCATATCGACGGAGGTGAATACTTGAGGCCTATGTAGGGCCGTTCCACGCGCTTCCCGCACAGCCGCAACGCACGTGCTGGCACACCTGCCACACAAGCAGAGGGTGAAAGAGCGTCGCCTATTGGCTTATTTGTCCCCCGCTTGCGTGCGGCTGGCCCGGCACGTGCGTTGCGGCTGTGCGAATAGCGCGTGGAACGGCCAATACTCCGCAATTTCAGTGCACGCTAACGAACACCATGTGGTCTAAAGTTCCGAACCCTTTCACAACAGCGTCTCTCATAATCTTATCATGGTTTCGGTACGTCGAAGCCCAGGTATTAGTATACTATTACCGCAACAAAACATTGAAAGTGAGTGCAATGTCAGACGCCTTTCTCAAGCCTATAGCCCGTAGCGTTGTATGCCGTAGTTTTAATAAGTTATAATCAACTAACGCAAGTCCTTGTAATGCGTCCTTACCTTGGATTTCTTCTGCGTTTCGTGGAAAAAGCCACGGGTGACGTGAAATACGTGGCGCCATTTCCCTTTGATGAAGAGGAGGCTTAGCAGGAAGAGCGATGTCGAACGGTCCACCTAGATAGGGCCGCAGGAAGCAAATAAACAGATCGTGGGATGCAAGGGCCCGTTGCTTGTTGCTAGCGCACGTGTAGCTTCAAGCCAAGTCACCATGTCGTGTACATTCACGTGTTCCCACGATATCTGAAGACCGATACACCCCGACGACTATATATTTCATAGACAACTTATCAGCGCCGCTGCCGTTCATAATGCGTTACTGTCCGATGTTGTGATACGGTTCCGCACAATACGTTTTTGGGGATGGTACGCTTTTTGAAATTGCTGCCAGCCTATAGTACAAGCAAGTCATGTATTCCGATACCGTTTATCTAATACTATTCTCCGTTGTACTTTTTTTTCTGTTCATACAATTTCTTTCTTTACAGTTTTCGGGCATCATACTGAAAGAAGCCTGCATTTTCATATGATTAATGCGGTCGCATTCATTCCTGACTTTCGATAATATATTTGCAGAAGAGGGATTTTGCTGATATTTAGGGGCGAAGCTCCTTAGGAGCATCACTCGATCGTCCTCTGTAGTAACCACCTCTCTCGTGTATATGCACAGGAAAGTTAGTTCTCGCAATGTCCGCTACATGGCGGTACTTGTATGTAATCAATATATCATGAAAAGATGCGAGATGGTGGTACTTTGAGTGTTCACTAGACAGACAGACAGACGGACAGATCGTTGGACGGACGGATGGATGCGCGAACGGGCGATCGGACGCTTCCCCCCACTCATCATCATTCAGTTCATCGATATGTGGTGATTTTTAGAATAGCCTAATTTCTAGCGTGCTGGATCAAACATTACTGATACGATCGCACAACACCAGCGAACACAATAGCGGTGGTGCCGTTTCTGCAACAGCATGTGAAAAACTGCTATTTAGAGAGACAAGACGCGGAAAGATTGTGCCCCGCCGCGAGGGGTGAGAGTGGGGTTCGACGGAAAGGGGAAAAATTAATGAGGCACAATAAGCAGGTCGATGATGGGGTTCCACGCCAAGAAAACCATTGAACGTCGAAGCCATTGGCATTTGCAAAAAGACAATACCGAAAGAAACAGCCAATGAAGACTTGTGCTCTATTACACATCAGGTGCAACGCTATGGAAATTATAGTGAAACTCGCAACTTCTTACAATACACGCACTAAGAAATTGTTCAATTATATTACTACCCACAATGCAATCTTTTTTTTATTGTTAGGCTGATCAATAAACAAAGATGCTATGTGCGTTAAAATGTTTAAAGATTGCTTTTTATTTGGTTTTCAATGGGTTGTCTATAGAGACAGCGTAAGATCTCTTTGTTTTCGCGTCATGGTCTCAACGATTGGTTCTGGCACATGCGCTACTAAAGGCAATTGCAGAGGCCACGTTTACGGCAATGAAATTAAAGCATGAGACGCGCGAACTTGTATATTTCGCTGAGAGTGCTTCATACATTGCACAGTGTTGCCCCTGGTGTATGAGACAACATAATAAAGTACTTCCTTCTCCAGGCGCTGATATCGATCTATTGTAACCACATATGCCTAACTGTAATCACATAGCATCAACAACCACACACCCACAAGCGCACATTATATAACGACATAGCACATCGTAACCACATAGCACAAATAAAAGGAACAACAAAGAAGGGTATATGCCTATTGCAAATTGTATGAGCGGACAAACAGATAGAACAGAAGTGAAGCGGTTGACAGGACAGCGTTTGTCCTGGCAATATCTCTTCACATTCCCCTTCTGTCTGTCCGTTTACATCGCGAATCCGCTCATACAATCTATGAAATCTTGCAGCAACTAGCTCATCAACTAGTCCAACTAGCACATGTTATACAATATGCTGGGAACTGTGTACGTCCAAGAGAGAGTGTCGAGGGGGTAGCTAAGCTGTCTCACGAATTTCGAGGAGTGGAGACGGCAGTAGTTATTTCGTTCTAGCAAAACATCCCTGCTCAGTCAACCTTAAGCCTATCTTGGTTGTATCAACCACTGCAACTTATTACCTCGCTCCAAAAGGAGGCGTCCTCTGGCGTCTTGCATGAGAACGAAGTGAGTGCCCCAATCCACGCCGTCATGCGTGTGGGGAAAACCACGCCGTCTGTCGGGTCATTGGCAAAGTCCTCAGCCTCGACACGGCACCAGCGAGAGAGCCACTTCCTGCATCGCACATGGAAAACTTCCGTGTCAGTCACCCTTCCATCACAAAATGTCCCACACGCTGCCCGGCTGGCCGAAGACACCGCCAGGATTCAAGGCCCGGTCGCCCCCTGAGGAAGGGGGTAAGAGGGGCCGTCTCCCGGCCCCCCGCCACCTTTGACTCCAGCAGGGACACTTCAATAAAGTTTCTTCTCTCTTCCCACCTCCCCGAAGTCAATTGTTTCAAAGGGAATTTCTTGCGCCCAGAGAGGGCACCGTTGCCGTCAGATAGGTTAGATTTTAGATTCAGAAGGGAAAAATCAGCAGTCATGATTTTCAATGACAACGAAGGTAGTGAGCTTCGAATACAGGAGGTCACGCTAGAGATAACAGATAAATACAAATATCTGGGCGTATGGATAAGCAATGGGACCGAGTATCTGAGGGAACACGAAATATACGTGACGACTAAAGGTAACAGGAATGCAGCAGTCATGAAAAATAGGGCACTGTGGAATTACAATAGGTATGATGTTGTGAGAGGAATATGGAAAGGGGTCATGGTTCCTGGGCTCACGTTCGGCAATGCGGTCTTGTGCATGAGATCAGAAGTTCAAGCAAGATTAGAAATTAAGCAACGTGGAATAGGTAGGCTTGCTTTAGGAGCTCACGGGAATACACCAAATCAGGGAGTACAATGTGATATGGGATGGACATCATTTGAGGGCAGGGAAGCTAGCAGCAAGATAAATTTTGAAAAGCGATTGAGAGAAATGGGGGAAGAGCGTTGGGCTAGGAAGGTTTTCAGCTACTTGTACATGAAGAATGTCGATACAAAATGGAGGAAGCGAACCAGGAGGTTGACTGGTAAATACTTAGAAAACAGCAGGTGGCCAAACCAAAAAGAACTATTGGTTAAGAAGAAAGTGAAGGAAACGGAGACTGACATGTGGAGAATGGGCATGATAAAGAAGTCCGCACTAGAGATCTATCGAACTTTTAAGCAGGAAATTGCCAAGGAAAGGATCTATGATAATACTCGGGGTAGTTCTCTACTGTTTGAGGCCAGGACGGGAGTACTACGAACCAAGACATATCGGGCCAAATACGAAGGGGTAGACACAGTATGCAGTGCGTGTGGAGAGGAAGAAGAAACTGCCGAACACTTGATAATGTTCTGTAAAGGGCTTCACCCTATAGTTCAGGATGATGGCGCAGAGTTTTTCAAAGCACTGGGGTTGAGGGACCGGGAGGGCAAAATAAACTTTAAGCGGGTAGACTTAACTAGAAGGAGGTTATCTGATTGGTGGCTAAAGTCAAGGCACGAGTGAAAATTAAACTCTTCACTGCAAAGTACGAATCCTCAAACTCACTTTTAAAGGGAAAAAAATATATAGTTTTTGGTTCATTAGGTATTACGGCTTGGTGGCGCTAGCCACCGCCCGATCTAAAGGGTACAGCCATATCCATCCATCCATCCATCCATCCATTCGCCTTCACCGACTTCTGCCATCGTCTGGAGAGGGGCCGAGCCCGCGAACGGTCGAGAGTGAGGAGCGAGCGGACGGGAAAGTGGGGCTCAGAGAGAGCGAATAGCGAGAGAAGGAGCGGCGGAGCACTGCACTTACCCTATCCTACACTCTCTCGCACCCCATGCCTCCGGTTGCTAGGGGCGAGGATAAGCACACGCGCCCGAAGCTGTTGCAGTGGTAGAAGGATTGAGACCGGAGAAAGGACACCTGCCGGCGCGCGGCCGTCACCGGATGCCTGACATAGCCCGATTCAGAAATGCGTTCACATTTAAAATTATTTGTCATGTCATGCAGTTATGTATGGTTTACTAGGCGTATTCGTTCTTTTATTAAAGGCACGTTAAAGAAAAAAATGGCCCCGTATCTGCATGTAATCTGCAAATGTCGTCTAAAGACCATGGTCTTGCGTGAGGAGATAGTGAACAAAACATTTATTTGATGTTCTGCGCAAGAAAATTAGTGAATGGTATTCCGGAGGTGCTGCGTTAGTGCCTCGAGCGTGCAGCGGAGGCGAGCGAGTGCATCACGTCACGTCACACGGGAGACATGAGCGCCATCTGGCAGTTTTTTTTTTAAACAAAACGCGTGGCCTTGAGACTCAGAGGTGACAAGGTGAAGAACGCAAGGCGATGGGTAGGTGTCAACACCATGTCGTCTTAGCAAAGCGTTGGAAACACTCGCTTCTTCGTGCAAGCGTTGAATGGTCAGCACAGCGTGATAAGCGCTACGGTCCTTAGAATTACTTATGTATGCCTTTTCTAGTAAAAGGCGCACATGTAGAATATATACGTGTTGTTATGGTACCTCGGATATGCGCAATAATTGCTTTTTAATTGACAATCGCACACGTATAAACGCTGAATCTTGAGAGAGAGAGAGAGAGAAAGAGAGAAATAACGTTTATTGCACCCGTCTAGATTGACGGAGGAGGAGGCTTCGGCCTCTGCCCCCAATCATCCCCCTAGCCATCGGCCGGAATCCCCCTTGGGACTCGGCGGCGGTCAGGGCGAGACCGATGACTTGACGCTGTTCTTCGGCGTCACGGCTGAGTAATAAGGCCTCCCAGGATTCTACGTTTCTACTTGGATCATTGTAGGATGGGCAGGTCCATACCATGTGCACTAAACCCGCAGTGCTGTTGCAGTGCGCACATCTGGAGTTGAACACTTCCGGGTGCCATTTACTGTACAGGTGAGGGTTTGGAAACACCCCGGTTTGCAATTTTCGCCACAGAATATCCTCCTTTTTGCTCAGCTGTTTAGCTGCCTCTGGATATATCTTACGGTGGAGTTTATAGTGTGCGGTGATTTCCTGAAACGTTCGTAGTTCGTCTCTTGTGGAGAGGGGCTGCTTGCGCGAAGGCGGCGGGTCAACGTCGATCGACCGGAAAGTGAGCCCTCGGGCGATCGCGTGCGCCTTCTCATTCCCCTTCAGGCCTTGATGGGCCGGGGACCATACTAGTGAGATTAGCTCTGCAGGTACTGGTCCTTGTCTTAGAATTTTGGCGGCTGTAGCAGAGATCCTGCCCATATCGTAGTTTTTAATGGCTGACTTAGAGTCGCTAACAATCACTCGTGCGTCTTTTTGAGCTATTGCCAAAGAAATCGCAAGTTCTTCTGCCTCTGTGGTGGTTGTGTTCTTAGAGGTGCAGCACGAGACCAGGTCTTCGTTCTCGTGAACCACTACCGCTCTGAATCTTGAGAAACATTGGTGGGCGCTGCGGATGGGGTCGGCCGCTCGGGGTATCGGCTGTTGTTGTTGAAAGTACCCGGTTCGTGGTAAGGGTGGACAAACAGACAAATGTACAGAGAGAGAGAGAGAGACAGACCAAAGTTTTTGCGTCGAAGGTCCCCAAGAAAGACTATCGTCTTTAAAAACAGAAAGCAGTAGGACTACTATGTTCCTTGGTGTCATGAAATCTATTGTCGCCCTCCACGGTGATGCAGTGGATAGTGTTCGCTTGGTTGGTGTTTCATCTCAGCTGTGGCGGTCACATTTCAATGGAGGTGAAATTCGAGAGGCTCCTCTACTCTGTGATGTCGGTGTACGTTAACACCCACCAGATGCGATAAAGTTCCGGAGCCCTCACTGCGGCGTCCCTCATAATCATATATCGTTGATTTGAGGACGTCACTCCCCAGACATAATTGAAAAGTACAACCGTTGAAAGATGCATATTTGGTTCTGACGTCATTTCACAACACGAAATTTTGGCATATCCCACGTACCTGGGAGTCACGTTATGCGAAGTATGCGGAGGGAAGGTGATCGTGTTGCATTTTTTTTTCATTGGGCGGCACGTCATAACATGACGCTAAATATGTGTACAAGTGTTGCACGCACAGATATATCTTGAAGAGTTGCAGATGTTTATATAACCAGTGTTTGTATTTATTGCGCAACAATGTCAACTGGAACATGCGTATTAGCAACACCAGAAGCTGATGATGAAGCACTCGTGCTCGCGAATATGCTGGCTCTGGACACAGCTACATAAACGAACTTCAGCGCATGGCACCTAACCACAATTGACGTTAACCTGACGTGCAGCTGTATTGGGTAGGCAGCACTGCAACCACCATTGCCGTTTCATGAAGATCGGCGTCTATTTGAAAAGTAGTTCCGAGACCTGGCGTAGCTGTGTGTTAGAATGCTTGACTACCACGCAGAACGCTAAGGTTCCATTCCTGCTGGGACCCTGAAATTTATTATTTGCATTCGTCGGGGGGTCAACGCTGCCTATGTCAGGTTTTTCTTAACATTGACATTTATTCTAGGCCTTCGTTTGGTCGAGGCTACCGGTGTCGAGTATTGCTTAACGCTCACGCGTTCAAATTGCCCATGTGTGTTCTCGTCGTTCCTGGACGCTAAGCGTAAATCACTTGTGGCACATACCGGCATAGCAGCGGCACGTACCCGCATATAAGTGGCACATACACGACCGTGAGTATGTGCCAATGTCTGGCGGGAAGTGTTCGACGTCGTACGCGACGGGATTGTGACATGTCTTGACCAACGCCTCATATTTGACGAATCATCCTAATATCCCATGTTAATTTTGGTTCACGCCAATAGGGGAGTGACCACGAGAGCACCCAAACGTAAGCGGCTACATAGAGAAATAAATACATACGCTCTAAGTCGGCGAAGTTCGCTAATAAATGCTTCGCATTTAAAAACCCTACATTCACAACCTCGTACTGACCTGCTGCAGACAAACAGGTGCTTTCTGCAGCTAACGTAACGAAGGGGGCATGCTGACGTCACGTCCAACGCTTGTAAAACCTTAAGGCTCAGAGATTCGCGCTCGATGCTTTTTCCATTCTGCGGCCAAACGCGGCTCGTAACTCACGAGATATACGATGCGGGCTTGTTGGCAGCTCACCTTCAGTAAGTTTTCTTGTAGCACACGTAAACAAGAGGAAGAAATGAAGGCACATGAAGACAGACAGATTGCTGGCAATTGTGCATTAGCGCTCTGTCTTCATTTTCATGTGCCTTCATTTCTTCCTGTTGTTTACGTGCGCTACAAGGAAACTTACTCGTAGCGCTACTGCGTTTGGAATGGTTAGTCGAGACGTTATTATGAACTATATGCGCGTTTTAGGGGCGAAACTGTTTATAGCGGCACCCGTTCATCCCTCGTAGTCGTTGTATTGTGTAACAAGTATAACATTTTGACCTCCAAAGTGGTGCCGGTGAGATATTTCTTCTGTGCGTTGTTGAACAATAAGAAATAATGCTCAATGTACATGCCAATGGCTGCTAATGGGGAATGAAAGACAGGAGCATCCAACTTTCAGTTAACGCGCACGCTGCGATACCCATTAGCAGCCATTGGCATGTACATTGAGCACTATCTCACAAGAAAGGGTTGCTACGTTATACTTGCTGGGTGTAACCTCCTTAGCTTTAGAAAAGTTCAGCGAGCGTTGAGCCGCAGTGCCATGAATACAATGAACTAGTATATACCATCAACTCGAGGTGGTTAAAAGTGGGAAGTAGATACGAAGCGCAAGCCAGCCGTAAGAAAGTAAAAGCCGAATTCTCCTGTCTCTCATTCCCTATTAGCAGCCATTGGCAAGTACAATGAGCACTATCTGACAGGAAAAGGTTGCTACGTTATACTCGCTGGGCGTAACCTTCTTGGTTTTAGAAAGGTTTAGCGAGCGTTGGGCCGCAGTGCCATGAATACAGTGAACTAGTATGTACTATGAACTCGAGGTGGTTAAAGGTGGGAAGTAGACCCGAAGCGCGAGCCGTAAGAAAGCGTGCGTGTGCCAACTCTCGTTTAGTCCTTGGAATGTCCGCCGGATGGCGGTGCTCCTACATGGGGAATATATGATGAAAAGATGCGAGATGGTGGTACTTGGAGTGTTAATTGAATAGATGAACGAACGGACACACAGACAGATGCATTGACGGAAGCATGAACGGACGCAGGGGCGGATGCATGTACGAACGTAGGGACGGACGCACGAACAGACGCACGCGTGGACGGGCGGATGGACGCATGAACGGTCACACAGACGGTCGCATGGGCGGACGGAAGCAAAAACGAATGGACGGGCGAATGCTTCGCCCCACTCTCCATCATTCACTCGGTGGATATGCTGCCATTTCTTTACTTGAAATACTAAAAAATATCGCATGTTCCTTAAGGGCCCTTGGAGCGCCAATCTATCGTTGCCGATGACGTGGCGGCCTGCGTGTACTGACCTGTAACCGTCGGAGATCCGTATCCCTTTGTCGTAGACGAGGCAGCAGTCGTGGTGTATCTCGAAGTTGCGTCTGTTGCTGTCGGGCCACGTGGGGAACAGGAGCGAGTGCCATAGGGGCAGGCAAGAGGACACCACGGGGGGTTCGTCATATCCCAGCCGGGCGGCTCGCGCGATCTGCTCGGCCGTGCGGCCTCGGGCGCCGTTGTACAGTGCCATCAGGGCGCTCGACAGCATGAACGGGGAGAAGAGCATGTTGCGCGATCCAGCCGACTCCCGAATGACCTCGTGCAAGTCCAGGGCACACTGCAGGCTGCTCCGGGCAAAGTCCGGTGCAAGGATCATGCACTGTTCACGTCGACGTTTCCTGCACGAGTAATGAATTCTACCTGCATGGTGCATAGTTGACAGTACGAAGGACCAAGCAGCTGGCCCAACACTGGTCTATTAAAATGTTCATTAAGCTAATGAGTGCCGAGTGACGATCTTGCTTTTAGAGGCGAAGCTCCTTATGTCATGGGCCGTGCGTCCGTGATGTATGTAGCAGTAGTAGTAGTCGTCGTCGTCGTGTAGGTAGCCACCTCTCGTTTAGTCTTTGTAAAGTCCGATGGATGGCGGTACTTCTATATGACGAATATATAATGAAAAGATGTGAGATGGCGGTACTTTGCAGTGTTCACTAGATGTACAGACGGACGGACAGACATATGCACGCACGGATAGATGGACAGATGGGTGCACAGATGGACAGACGGACGAATGAACGGACGGATGGATGTACGGGCGCACGGATGAGGTCGCACGGGCCGCGGACGGACGCACGGACGGACGCATGGACGGACGTAAGCAAAAACAAAAGGACGAACTGAAGCGCGGACGGACTGATGGACACTTCGCCCCACTCATCATCATCCAGTCCATGGATATGCAGTGATCTTTTTTTCTGAAAATATCCGCTTGACTAGGTTCCGGTTTTTTTTTAGCATTAATTTTAAAAATCCACACATGTCCACAAAGTCAATGCTGTTGATAGGGAAAAGCAGTGTTCATATATATCATAAATCATGTCCTATTTTGTTTTTGTTATTGTAATGCAATGAAAAAAATTTATTTTTGTTATTGTTAACAGTGTTTAATTTTGTTCTTGATAACGATTTTTTTCTGTCGACGTATGCTTTGACGGGTGGTTAAATGTCGGTTTTCTTACTGCGTTGCAGCCTTTTATTTGGTTTTTTTCTAATTGCCCAGTCCTTTTGATAACCTTTTTTTTTTTCGTTGTTCACACATGTTTCGGTTTGTTCACGCACACCTGAGCTACGGCGCATGTAGACACCAGACGGTGGTATACGGCCAATGTGCGCTCTTAAGGGGCTTCACCCCTAAAATTCTAAGGAAAGGAACTCTTGTTCGGGCCCCAAGAGTTACAGTAGATGGATATGGTATTCGTGCATACGTTTGCCTACGACATGGCCATTTAACTGCCAGTATAAGTAATGAAAATTAATTGACTCAGCTGTGGTTGGGATTGTTACCACAAGCTCACGAAGCCGGCCGCCACCACACGCTCTGATTGTGGTGGCTCTGATACTCTTATACAATGGGGTAGTACTATAAACACACAGGTACCCCAAGAAATGCACCGAGGCAAACGAACTCCAAAGCAAGAGTGCCCCCAGACACTCAAGTCAAAGATTGTTGCCACATCTTTTTCCCTCATGGCGTCATTTTGTGTCTTTCCTGATGGGATAATTTAAAAAAAAAACAGTGGTTACGGTACAAAATATTGGAATAATGGAAGCAAACTCGTGCTACAGTTGGCAAGCATCAATCAGATGTTTTTTTTTAAAATTGTAAACTACCACAAACTGAGTTGTGGTTGCGGCATGGCCAACACGACAACCTTCGACTTTCTGATCACGAATTGCGATGTTGTAAACCATGCTTAAAGTAAGTACATTTAACGACCGCTGTTGTGACGCACGAGGTATAAGCCGTACATTACGTAATTAAATGCAATTATTCTTTATTATTATTTGCAAAATCCGTATACCGAGAATCTTCCAAGATTCCGGTTGCAAAAGGTTCTTCCTCCACAAATATCCGCCGAGCTAGAGATTGTGTTGGCGACAGAGCAAGAGAAAACGAGGGCAATGCGATAAAGGCTGAAGTCCACCGGGGAATAACTAGCCAAGGTGAACATAGGAGCGGCCTACGGAGAGAACAGTAGGGAACCGGCAACCAGAACGGCGGAGAAGAAAGAGCAAGCAAGTTTGGAAAAAACAGGTTTAGCCGGTTCAATTGTCGCAAGGCCCAGCTTCAGCGAAGTAGTGGTGGGGCTGGGAGGGGACAAAGCAGCCGTTGTCACAGGGGCAAATAACCCCCAGGTGAAGGACGCTCCAGCTGAAAAGTCAACGCATGTAATAATCGCCGGGGACTCGAATTTAAATCGATGCACAGAAGCAATCAAAGAGAGGGTAAAAGGTGACAAGAGAGTTGCAGTAGGGGCGTTCCCAGGACGCAAGCAGGAAGCAGTCATGAGGCAAGCGAGCGCAAAACTCAAAACTACAGCTGATAGACGAAATCTTGTAATAATTCCAGGCGGTTTAAACGATGTCTTAAATGAAGATACGGCAGGACTAGCAAGCACACTGACGAAAGGGGTCGATGACATGCACGTCACTTCTCCTCAGGTACAGGTAGCGATATGCACGATACCGGAGGTACCGGCGCGTGACAGCAACCTGCAAAGAGCGGTTGTCAACGCAAACCAAGAGATATGGCGGATGAGTCGAGATAAAGGTTTGAGCTGGTGGAAATAAACAGAGAGGCGCATAGGTGGGGTGGTTTTCAGCGAGACAGCATTCACTTCGATGGGTGGCTAGGTCATGAGGTGGGTTGGCGACTTGCAGGACGCACAGTAGCTTTTTGGGGGGCACGTGGGCCCTTCGGGGTGCAGGATAGCCAGTAACGAGGAAAACAACCAGGGAGACTCTTTGACGGGTGGTATGAAGAGATACGATTCCAAAGTAGCACCAGTATCTAAGAGAGGTAGAGTCCGGGCCAGAAATAGACGTAGCCACGAGCGCCGAGCCAATTCAGGCATAGGGTATATTAACATGCAGGGTGGTAAGAACAGGCTGAAGTGGGAAAAGATAGAAGAACAGCTGAGCAAGGAGAGGCCGATGGTATACGGCTTTGTAGAAACACATCTTAGGGACATAGAACAACCTCCTAAAAATCTGGACTACGCGGGGGAATATTGTAATAGAACAGAACGCAGCAGAAAGGGGGGTGGTATTGGGGCATTCATCCATAAAAGTACAGACTGGCAAAGGGTCAAGCAGGAGTGCAAGGAACATTTATGGCTAAAATGGAAAGTGACAGGGCAAATGACACTCCTTGGTTTCGTGTACTTGTGGACGGGAGCAAAGGCCAGAGAGGAAAACCAGGCAATGGTAGAGTGTATATCAAAGGACATTGAGGAGTTAGGAGGAAAGTGCGAGTAAATTATATTAGGAGATATGAATGCGCACATAGAAGATATAGATGGGTATACCGACCCGACAGGCAAAATGATCATGGATATGTGTGAAAAGCATGATTTGATCATTTGCAACAGTATCGAGAAGTGTGAAGGGCAAATAACATGGGAGGTAGGAAGGCTGCAGTCGACGATAGATTACGCACTGATGCCACATAGGATGTATGACAAGCTCAGGGGAATGCACATAGATGAAGGTGGCTCCAGAATTTTGGGTAGTGATCACAAAGGTATCAAGCTAAGTTTTGAAAGAGCAGTGAAAGTGAGGAGACAAGATGAGCAACTACAAATTGAAATAGCTACTAAACAAATTGAGAAAGTAATCACTGAGGATAATGAAACAGAGTAGACATAGACGAATCTGATCAGACTGTTTGAGCAAGAGCTTGCTAAGGCACGTGACAAGTCACCCCGGAAAAGAAGACACAAAACCAAAATTTAGTGGAATGAGGAAGTTAAGAGAGCCATATCAAAACGTCAGGAAGCCTCTAGGGAACACAGAAGGGCTAAGCAGCGGGGTGAACCGCCAGATGATGTTGAAAGAAAATGGAAAATCTTTCTAAGCTGTAGAAGGGATGCATCCCTTCTGATCAATGACAAGATTAGAAGAAAGGGAGCTCAGTGGCTGGCAGAAGTACATAAAAAAGATAGAAAGGCAGCTGCGAAATTTCGGAACCATCTAAACTCCCTAAGAAATGAGACGAGCCTTGAGCAGAGGTTTATAACTACAGCTCAAGGTGCTAGGATAGATGGGGACGAAGCTATTGAATATATAAGAACAAGGGTGACAGAAAATGTTAAACAAAGAAGTGCTTTGCGCACCACAATAGACAAGGATGAATCAAGTGGCGCAATGGCTCCATTTTCACAACGAAAGTGGGAAAGTGCTGAGAAGAGGGTTCCACGGTAGTACATCAACAGGCCCAGATGGCATTCCAATTATGCTGATAAAGACATTGGGTCCAAAGTCTGAACAGACTTTGAGAGAGGCAGTGAGCAGAACAATAATCGATGGTCCCCGATGGATGGAAACTTAGCAGGATGAGCACCATCTATAAAGGAAAGGGGGACAAAGCTGACATAAACAACTACCGTCATATAACAGTGACATCAGTGGTCTACAGGCTGGCGATGCAGATTATAAAGGAAAGACTGAAGGCATAGATAGAGTATGAGGGGTGCTGGGGGAACTGCAGAATGGGTTTCGGAAACACAGGGGGGGGGGGGGAAGACAATCTGTTCTCACTGACGCAGTGCATCGAAATAGCAGAAAAGGAACACAGGCTTCTGTGGCTAGCATTTTTGGATATCAATGGAGCGTACGATAGCGTGGTTCAAGAGGGATTGTGGGGAATACTGGACACACTAGGCGTGGAAGATGGAGTCACTAATCTTTTAAAGGATATCTATAAAGGTAACAAGGTAGTTATAAAGTGGGAAAAACAGATATCCAAGCCTGCAGAGGTAAAACGGGGGCTTAGACAGGGGTTTCCTATGTCACCCTTATTATTCATGATGTACCTACGATGATTACAGGCCAAATTAGAGGGAAGTGGACTGGGCTTCAACTTCTCTTTCGTCAAACAAGGAAAACTCATTGAACAAGCACTACCAGCATTGATGTACGCAGATGATATAGTGCTAATGGCCGACAACAAGGAAGATTTGCAGATATTGGTGGACATCTGCGGTAATGAGGGAGATAGGTTAGCTTTCAGATTCAGTAAAGATAAATCAGGAGTCATGATTTTTATGACAATGAAGGTAGTAAACTTAGAATACAGGAGGTCGCGCTAGAGATAACAGATAAATACAAATATCTGGGCGTATGGATAAGAAATGGGGCCGAGTACCTAAGGGAACACGAAATATACGTGACGACTAAAGGTAACAGGAATGCAGCGGTGATAAAAAACAGGGCACTGTGGAATTACAATAGGTATGATGCTGTGAGAGGAATATGGAAAGGGGTCATGGTTCCTGGTCTGACGTTCGGCAATGCGATCTTGTGCATGAGATCAGAAGTTGAAGCAAGATTACAAATTAAGCAATGTGGAATAGGTAGGCTTGCCTTAGGAGCTCATGGGAATACACCAAATCAGGGAGTACAAGGTGATATGGGATGGACATCATCTGAGGGCAGGGAAGCTAGCAGTAAGATCCAATTTGAGAAGCGATTGAGAGAAATGGGGGAGGAGCGTTGGGCTAGGAACGTTTTCAGCTGCTTGTACGTGAAGAATGTCGATACAAAATGGAGGAAGCGAACCAGAAAATTGACTGTTAAATACTTAGAAAACAGCAGGGGGCCAAACCAAAAAGAATTATCGGTTAAGAAGAAGGTGAAGGAAGCCGAGACTAATATGTGGAGAATTGGCATGATTAAGAAGTCCGCACTAAAGATCTATCGAACTTTTAAGCAGGAAATTGCCAAGGAAAGGATCTATGATAATACTCGGGGTAGTTTTCTACTGTTTGAGGCCAGGACGGGAGTATTGGGAACCAAAACATATCGGGCCAAATACGAAGGGGTAGACACGGTATGCAGTCCCCGGTATGTGTTGTCCCAGGTGGAACACTGACACACGACTCAAAAACCTTGTAAGTATGCGCAGCCTCAATAAGTTCGCCCCTGTGGTTTTTATGCCGAAACGCATAGATAGGCTTTCATCCTCTAACCTCTCCTTTCCCCAGCCCTTGCCATACTACACTATAGATGGCTTTGCTTGCGCTCACCGTTTTGTTTTTTTTTTTTAGCCAAGAATTTCTCTCTCTACTTCTCTCGCCCGTCAGAGTGATTGCATCTCACGCCGGAGCTTGAAATGGCTGCATGTGGTCTGGGAGTGAAGAAGAACACGAAGAAGAGGATGACAAAAAAAAGAGGGCGCTCCACTTTGTGGTCATGATAATTTTATATAAAGAACACATGACCAAATTCGACCATAACAGCTGTGCTGTGGAATATTCAACAAGAACGTTGAACTGCTTGCTGAGCCATGATTTCACACCCACAAATTACTCGAGCTACAACTGTATTAAAGCCTCAAGTAAAATCTTTGCGGGAAAGTGGAGTTAGATAAGCTGACCTAAACATAAACGTCTCCCTATTTTTGTTCTCTCTCCTCGTGGCTGTATCGTTCCTACACCGGAATGCGAAGCCGTTAAGCCCAACCAATGTCAATTATCATGGGCTTAACTCTGTCAAACTGACACTGCTACACATTTAAGAGCAGTCCCTAGCTGCCCTGCTACATTCAGCGAGAAAATAGAGTGATAAACACCATGTGATGGCTAACCAACGACGAAATAGCATCTAACTGCGGCCAACCAATCGGCTTAGCCACTCTAGCTCAATGCGGCGTCCTCACACATACAAGATCCATCCCCGCCAGTATATAATGCCACTCTATGTGAGAAAAATGCGAGCTAACACGTGTCATAACGCAGGATTCTTCACCTTGACATTTTCGCTCCTACTTCAAGCCTCACGTTATTCCGCCCAATTCTCCGACGGCCAGATTGAAGCCCACCGCTTTTCAAGTAAGTATCATTGCATTTTACCTGTTGATTTATTTCCTGCCTCGTACTTTTCCTTAACCTCACCTACACGAGCCCACAAGCTTCAGCCGGCCAATACAGACCATACTTACTCGGCGTCATCGGGAGTCCCCTCACCACTCTTCGTGGTGGCCTCGATGATCGAGCTGTTGCCCGAGAACGCCGGCTGGTGCTCCACCGATCCCTCACTGTCCATGGACACGCTTGGGGTCTCTCGGAAGGTCACCTCTCCGGTGGCATACAACAGAATAGGCGCGGCTGACGGTAAAGAAGGACAACTACACCTTGGACTATTTTAACACCATTGGCGTCGACCTCAGTGGCTAATGTCCGACGGAGCTAGCAAATAAACCTGATGATGATAGTCCAAGGTTCAAACCCACTGGTGAAAATTGAGGAAGAATCGAATGGAAATAATTCAAAACGGAAATAACTTCGAAAGTTTGCCAACTGTACACAACTAGGGCAATGCGAATAATTATATACAGGGCGAATCGAAAGCGTGCCAACGCAGTAAAGGAAATGCTGCAGCAAAGCACTTCGCTTGGATTTGGTTGCTTTTCTTTTTCCATCTGATTGCGACATAAACTTGCCCATGGGGGCAGCCTATTTAAATATGTATTTCAGCGCAAGAGCACACACGTACACGAAAGATAACTGTGCGTTAAATGCACTAATCCGCTCAACGCACTGCACTGTGCAATGCGTTGAGTTATCCAAAATGGACGTACACAGTGTGCAAGGAGGAACGCCGCTTGCTAGACGCGAGCCGGACGCGCTCGCATCGGCTCCTGCTTTTTTAAATGTTTTTGACCGCAAATTTGCCGATCGACCTCGGTTTTTCGACTCATCTGTTCCAGTTTCTTTCAAGGATCGAGTGGATACCCGACTTTTGCTGGTAGGTCAAGCTTTCGAACTTTTATTTGGGTGTTTCACCCTGTGCCACGTTGGCGCTCAGCTCGGCCTGCCGAGCGAGACGCTTCGAGGATGCCGCTCGAGGAGATGTTCTTCGGCGAAGAAATCTCCAGGCAGGAGGATGAAGCCTCCGGATGGATTGTTGCCCACTCTCGGAAGAAGCAGCGTCAGGATTTTACGCCCGGCGACAGCCCTGGCACCAGTGCCGGTCATCGTGCCGCCCGTCCAGCGCACCCGAAGGGGCCGATAAACAAGCTCATCGCCGCGTCGCGCCTGCCGCGATTGCCTAAAGATCACTACCGGGTTGTCGTACGTCCCAAGGGAGGCATGGATGTGCGCAAGGTCAGTGGAATCAAGGTTACCCAAGCTTTGGTGATGGCTGCTTGTCTCGGCCCGCCGCAGGCTGAGGAAGATATTGTTTGTGCCAATGAAATGCAGAACATTTTTGTGATCAGCACGCCACACGCTAGGAACGCAGAAGCCTACGCTAAAGTGAAGCAAATTCGAGTGGGAGAAACGCTCCATGAAGTCTCTACTTACGTGACGCCACCCGGGGATACGTGCAGAGGAGTTGTTCGCGGTATCGACCCTGAGCTCTCTGATGACCGGCTTGGTGAGCTCTTCGTGCACGCAAGAAATCCGAAGGTTCTTGGAGTACGGCGCATCAAGAAAACGCCCACGGTGATCGTCCTGTTTGACGGTATGAAAGTTCCAAACTACGTCATGTGTGGGACGAACCTGATCCGGTGCACGCTCTACCGACGACAAATCGACGCCTGTCGAACCTGCGGAAAGCTGGGACATCGCTCGGACGTTTGTCCCACTCCTACAGTCATCACCTGCCCGGACTGTGGGGTCTCATAGCCCCCTGAGAATCATACATGCCAGCCGAAGTGCTCCATCTGTGGAGGAGCGCATCCGACGGCGGATCGGGCCTGCCAAAGCAGGTACCAGGTTCCCTACATCGTTCGGCGTAGAAGGCGACGACGGAGAAAAGCAAACAAGCGGCGCGCGGAGTTCGTGCCACAGCAAGCTCCTGGGCTTGGGTTCAACCTTGATAACCCTGGGCGGGGTGCGGGTCACCGCTCTCGCTCGAGGGATAGGTCTGCCTCCTGTGCCCGGATTCAGCAGGAACCTACCTGGGCTGAACGAGTGGGCCCAAAACGTGAGTCTCGCACTATCGTGCAGCGCCAGTTGCCAGAGCAAGCTACGGCTAGAATACAGCAGCTAGAGCATGAGAATGCAACTCTGAGGAGTGAGCTTCAGGAGATTAAAGCATTAGTTGAGGAGCTTAGGCAGCGCGAACGCACGCCGGAAGGGGCGGTGAAAGTGCAGCAGGCCGAGGCACAACCTAGAGGCGGTAAGCGAAAAGTCGCTGACCCTCCGGTAGATATCGAGAAGGAGTTCAGTGACTTTAAACAGGAAATTATGGGGGTGGTCCATGAAATTAAGAAGGCCATCGCTGGCGTCAGCTCTGTCATCCAGTCCCTTTCTGCAAGGGTGGTGGTGGTGGAGCAAAACCTAAGTAGCAATCATGGCGAAGCTAAATAAAACATTTGTCATTTGGCAATGGAATTGCGCGAGCTTCCACAGGAAGAAGGCAGTCTTGCAGCAGTTCGTCAGCTCACAGGAGAATAAGCCAGCCGTAATACTCCTCCAGGAGACCCTTAAAGGAGAGGTGGCCCTCCGGGGTTATCGCTTCGTGGCCTGCTGGGGGGAAGGAAAACGCGGGGTCGCCACCCTCATATCCAAAGAGTTCTCCTTTGAGGTTCGCGATGTACGTCCAGACCTAAAGGTGGAACACATACTCATTGAGTTAATCCCAAACTCTCGGCTTAAGGAGCACCTATTCATTCTCAACGTTTATAGCTCACCATCTGATACTCGGGAGACTTTTAATGCGCTTCTCTGCAAAGCCTCCAAAATCGCAGGCTCGGCTCCGTTGACAGTTGCTGGCGACTTCAATGCGCAACATCAGACATGGGGCTATATCAATAATACGGCTAAGGGGCGGGCGCTTCTGCAGCATACTACCAATCTTAATATGTTACTAGTTACTGATCACAACTTTCCCACACGTCTCGGCAATTCTGTAGCAAGGGACACCACGCCGGACCTGGCTTTTGTCAGGAACGTCGAGTGCCCTTTCTGGCAGAACTTGCATGAGAACTTGGGGAGCGACCATTTCATCGCGTCTATCTCCCTCGATGTTAAAGCACCGCCGCCGCGGGTTTTCAAAATTGTTGATTGGGATGCCTTCCGGGAACTCAGACAAAGCGATGAAAAAGAGTACGATGACCTTGGCCAGCTACTTGAGCGTCTTAAGGCAGATGTTAAAGATGCCACTAAGGTGGTGGAGACGGATCTTAAAACGGAACGCATGGACAGCCGCCTAGCGAGGCTCCTTGAAGCCAAAAACTCCTTACTTAACAGATGGCGTACGCAGCGACTCAAGAGGCGGCTCAGAAAGAAAATTGCTCTGCTCAAACAGGAGATTGAATCGTACAGCCAAACCCTGGCCAGACAACAATGGGATGAGGTCTGTAACGCTGTCGATGGGCAGATGCGGTCAGGGGCGAAATGGAACATTCTCAAGCACCTCCTGGGAGATAAGCAAACTAAAGCTAATCAGAAACACACTGTTGATCGGCTCATTCACAAGGAGAGGTCTGCTGGGCTCTCCAATGATCAAATCTTACAACAGCTGGCGGATAGGTACCTCCCCCTGGGGGCTACCACGGATGCAGACTACCCGGATTTCTCTGGTCTGGAGGATGCGGAGCTGGACTCCCCCTTCAGCACGGCAGAGATCAGGGCGGTCCTTTTGATCTCAATGGAAAATCGGCTCCCGGGCCGGATGGTATCACTAACAGGCTACTTAAAAATCTGGACGATAGATCCATTGAGCTACTAACTGACGAGGTCAACCGGGTTTGGGAGTCGGGGCAGGTGCCGAAGGAGTGGCGAACGGCCTCTGTCGTCCTCATTCCCAAGCCTGGTAAGCCTCTCGGGCTCGGCACGCTCCGACCGATCTCGCTCACGCCTTGCGTGGGTAAGGTCGCGGAACATGCAATCCTTAACCGAATCTCCCATCACATTGAACAAAACGAGCTCTTCCCTTTCAATCTCATTGGCTTTCGTCCCGCGCTCTCTACGCAGGACGTTATGAAAATGATTAAACATCAAATTCTCGACATAGACACCAGAGATGTCCGAGGGATTCTTGCACTCGATCTGGAGAAAGCTTTCGATAATATCTCACATCCTCACATACTGGATTCGATCTCTGAGTTGGGATTGGGGGCCCGCTTTTACGGGTTCGTCCGCTCTTTTCTCAGGGATCGCGTTGCCACCATTCGGCTCGGGGACCTCTGCTCCAAGGAATTTCACCTTGGACCTAGGGGAACCCCTCAAGGATCGGTCATTTCGCCGCTAATTTTTAATATCGCGATGAGGAAACTCTCGCTCGAACTCTCTCGTATCGACCGCATCGGACATGCGCTGTATGCGGACGATATTACTATATGGTGCACTGGGGGTAGGGACGGAGACGTTGAGGAGTCCCTCCAGCAGGCCCTCAGGTGCACGGAGGAGTTTTTGGATAGCACGGGGCTGCACTTGTCGACCGCCAAGTCGGAGCTCCTCCTGTACACACAGCCGGAGAAACGCAAGTTCACCACTATTCCATTTCCGCCGGAAGAGATCAGGATCGAAATTCACACACGGTCAGGGCAGGCCATCCCCCGTGTCGATAAAATTCGGATATTAGGCATGTTCCTGGAGGAGCACGGAAGTAACTCTCATACTCTGACTCGTATTGCGGCAAAGGCGGAGAGCATGGTCAAGCTTATACTTCGGGTGTCTAACAGGCGTGGAGGGCTTTGTGAGGCCAACCTCATGAGGCTTTTCCATGCCTTTCTTATGAGTCACATTAATTACATTGCCGCAGCGCATAGGTGGGAAAGGAAAGAACAAGGGAAACTGGATGCGATTATTCGAAAGTGCATTAAGAGGGTCTTGGGCCTTCCAAACAACACAAATGAGGAAAAGCTCAAGGCTCTTGGTATGCATAACACATTTAGTGAGATTGCAGAAGCGCAACAAACAGCACAAGCTGCACGACTGACCTCTTCCAAAGCTGGGAGACGCATCCTGGAGTTTCTGGGCTGCGAACCAACTATGGTAGCAGGCAAAAAGATACAGCTTCCACCCAAATTGAGGGAGCAGATTACGGTCTCACAAATTCCTAGAAATGTTCACCCTCTCTACAATGTCGGCCGC